CCCCCACACACACACACACACGCGAATGCACACACTCACAATCAGAGACAAGAGCGGAGGAAAGGAGGAGAACAACAGCTCTGGTGTCTGCCCGTTTGTGTCCCCCCCCAGTTTCAAATTCGTTTATTATTATTTTTTAACCGCAAGCCGTTATCGTCACGGGAGAAGGACACAAACAGCCTGCCCAGGTGGACGCGCGCCAACGCGACAACGAACGTAGCGTGCGCATTCTAAAAATAGCTCACAGATGGTGAGCAGGTACCGCGGTTTTGAACTACAGTATTGAATTTGACAGAAAACAACAATGAAACGCCAGCAGAAGAATAGTCTAATGAGTTGGGTGAAAAAAAAGACAGGAGATGTGAGTTGGTGTATTCAGTAAATTAGCTCAGGATAATTGGATGTTCTGTCTACTCTACACCTGTTGATGTGAGGCTAATGCAGGATTTCCTAGCTTGATGCTACCGGCATTTAGCGGCAGTGACTCAACAAATTGCCACTTAAAATGTATCGTCAGGAATGTATGACGTGTATTGTTTAATGTTAGACTCACACCAATAGGTCAATATGATCATAACACGATTGCTTTCATATCAGAGATCAGATGAGGTGGAGCTGCCTCCAGCAATAGAGGATGAGGCAGAGAGAAGCAGCAGCAGCACAGGGTTGCAGCAGGTATGTTATATGCTGTAGTCAGGTGATTTAAATGTATCAATGAAAGGAAGAAGTGTAGGCTACATGATAAGAAGGGAATACAGTTTGAATTAAAGTAATAAAGTACAGTGTAATACTGTACTTTATTACTTTTTAATGTACAAATACTTTGTTACTGTACGATATCAATAACAATAATTCACAGCTCCTCTCTCTGCTCCAGAGGATACAAAATGTTCGGGGTACCCGAGCAGCACCCTGCCAAGGCAGTAAACCTAGGGGAAACACTGTAAAGTATTTGCTTCACGCTGTGCATGTTCCCGCGAGGTGCTGTGGGCATGCATAACACGGCGCTAACAGTTCATGAGCGAGCGTCCACCCCCTGCACTCTTCATTTGAAAAGGAAATGTGATTTTTTTTTTCTTGTCTTCTTGTGTGTGTTAGAGAGAAGGGGGGTCCTCAGGAGGAGTCTGTCTGGGACCCTAACACCCAGAGAGAGAGGAGAAAGGTGGTCTTCGCTGAGGAGGATAAGGAGGAGGATGAGGATGATGATGATGAGGATGAGGAGGAGAGTGGGTCCAGTGATGATGAAGAAGGTGACAATGAGGACAGTGACCAGGAGGAAGAGGATGAGAAAGAGGATAAAGACAAGGACAACCTGTCCAAGTTTCTCAAAGTCGCCAGGGCCAAATCTGATGTGACAGTAGAGCCTTCAGCTCCTCCTGTGAAGAAACAGAAAGTGGAGAATAAGAACAAGGAGCAGCAGGAGCAGAGCGGAGAGCTGCCTGCGTTCGCCGACAGTGAAGACGAGCTGGAGGTGAGTGAGGAAGAGGAGGAGAGCGGAGAGGAGGCTGGGAGAGCAGGAGACTCTGGACACTGCTCTGAAGAGGACGAGGAAGACGGTGAGGAAGAGTCTGAAGGTGAATCAATGGAAGAGGATGCAGCTGACGCTACAATGAAGAGCGGCAGTGAGGAGGAGGAGGAAGAGGAAGAAGAGCTAGGTAAATACACTGCTAAATCTAAAAGCTGTTTTAAGTTTCCTTTCGGATTATGGGTCAAATATTGAGATACAGAGGACCAATTCCGATATGTATGACCTTTTCTGTTTCTCCTTTGTGTTTGTGATAAGTCCATCTATTAGCTGTTTAGAAGCTTTGGATCCTATCAAATCATTTCTGGAATTGGTCAAATTGTCATGGAATGGTAGGTATCCAAGTTCCATTCTTTTTTTGTATCCTAACACTTTAAGGACTTCTAAATAAAACCCTGAGAGGCAACGGAGAAATAATAATTATTGGGATCCATTTTCTAAGTCTCATTTAGGTGGCTCTTGCCAAGATGCCACGTGTTTCTTTTAATACTCATTCTGGCCCTAGGTATCTGAGATGTTCTAAACAGAGCACAATGGTCCAGATATGCATCAATACAAATGATTTCTAGTTAAAATATACACATGACAGTAATGTTACACAACTAGAATTGAGCCTGACAAGTAAATTAATTTGCAGGAATTAATTAGTTTTTACAAATCGGTCGAGGATTTTGGAAAAGACCATGGTGTAAAAATATTTGTTGTCACCTGTTCTTAAGTCATAAACAGAGGAGAGAATACGGTTTGGATCAGAATTAGAACATTTATTTTCACATTAAGTTTATAGAGCAAAACTTTGCGAACTCCACTGCAAGTTCTGCAAACCCCAGTATGTCATACGATCCAAAGCTCCAGAACAGATACATGTTTTTTGTGTTGAGAATATTTAGTTTTGTTTTCATTGATTACACTGTTACTGTTATTTCTTGGTGTACTCCGACATGTGTATCTGTACAGAAACTGTTACTTGATGTTCCATGTGTCAGCTCAGGCTCCTCAGAAAGCTTCTCATAGGTAGAGCTTCCATTGGTCCGATGGAACCTTAAGGCAGCTAGACTTTGTCGATGTTAGGTAGTGATACGGATCACTCATTTCATTTATCTTCCATCCACAGGGGCTCTGAAGTGGAAGGACGGTCTGCAGCAGAAAGCATCAGAAGCGTTTCTACGGCAACAAGCAGCTATCCCCAATCTGAGAAAACTGGTTTATGGCTCAGGTAGGACTCTGGTTGCATGTGCACATGTATATTTATTTCTATTGAAATTATGTATTTTTCACATAAGAGAATACATCTCTTTATCTATATGATTTGTTACTGTTGGCCAATTCGTCACCCCGGACAAAATATCCGAATGAGTATGTTATTATTGTCTTATTTCATTATCTCATTATTATTCTTGGCAAGTGACTTAGTGTACATTATCTTCCAAATATAAAGATTATTTCCAAGTGAAACAGAAGCTGTGCATTAAGCCATGTTTGTACATTTTGGTTCTAATGTCATGATGATGTGGAAATACATTTCTAATCCACATGATAACATATACACCTCTGATTTTCAGTGTGTTTTGACGCTTATCCCTTTTTGTTTTTTCAGTTGTGGCGGCAGATGACTCTGAGGAGGAGGAGGAGGAGCTGGGGGGGCTGTTCAGAGTGAGCCGCCCTCAGAAGAGTAAAAGGTTCCGGGCGGATGCTGTGGACTGCTCCCGCTTCACCCCTGACTCCGCCCACAACTGGGACCTGGAGGAGGTGAGTGGTTGAGATTTTTAACGTGCTGTTGGTATGAAAATAAGTAGAAAAAGATGTTGAGATGAAACCTACATTCTTTAAAGGTTGCCATGTTTTTGTTTTCTAGATGCTGAACTCCATCAGGGACTGCTTTGTGACGGGGAAGTGGGAGGAGGGCCAGGATGCTGCCACGCTGCTGAAGGAGGACGGTAAGAGAGGAGGACCAATTCTCCAAGTTATAAAAACAATTATTATTTCTGAATACCGGACATATGAGGATGTTTAACTGACCTTAAAGCAAAGTCTTGTGTGTCTCTTGTGTGCAGAGGAGCTGTACGGTGACTTTGAGGATTTGGAAACGGGACAAATTCACAAGACCAAACCTGGAGATCAGGCCGAGGTACGTCTGATGTACAGGGACACTATCACACTTTCACTACATGAGTTTCACAGCTAAAGCAATGTATAATAATGACATCATCACAATATTTACTGAAAAATATAGGAAATTATATATCATGCATTGTTTTATGTCTCCAGTAAATCAAAAACACTTAATTATAGGAGTGCAGTAAGGTGGTGAGAGTATGTAACCATAACAGAACAACGCGTACAAAAAACAGCAATTATACTGACACAAAGAGAGAACAGAAAGCAACTGATATTTTTTAAGAGACGCTGTTTTGTTTTCTCTTATCACATGTGTATTATTAACATATTAATGTTTAATTATCTCATTATTACAATTACAATGTGGAACATTCTGACACCCCTACGTAGTCAGGATGTTCTATATTGATTACATTTCTTTATTACTAGAACTTTGACGCTATTAGGAAGGGACAAGCATCTCAGAATGATGGTTGTATGCCATGGTTAACATGGCTATTCCATTCGATTTGAAATAAAAGTATGACTTTGAGCGGTTTTACAGTTTTATCCTTGAATGAAAGGGTGTTCTAGTATTCTGGGTATGTAGAAACACTCAAAAATAAAACTGAAAGTCAATACTGTAGTGCCGTTTTGTAATTTGCACTTTCCAGACTGTACTTTGTTTGGATGGATAAACAGCAGTAGAATGCTTAGAGCTATTCTCTGAAGCAGCTCATTTGAAAAACACATGTATTAGGTCCTGAATAAAAAGCATCTTCTTAATATTTGATGACATTAAAGGCTCTCAAACATATGACAGGGTATTCCAATGGTAACAGTTGACCTGAATTCAAGTGTATTTCAAGTTTCTAAATAACTCTCATTATTACCTTTTTAGTTTTCTCAGTATGATGATGATTTGTGATCTGCAGGATAATGAGAACGATGAAGATGATGACGATGAAAAAGAAGAGAGTCTGGTGAAGGTGGATGAGGATGTGACCCTGAAGACCAAGCGTCTGGAGAAGAAACAGAGGCTGAAGGAGCGATTCGATACGGAGTACGATGACGGAGACGCCACGTACTTTGACGACCTGAAGGAGGAGCTGCAGAAGCAGGCGGAGGTACTGAGGATCTGTTATTCACATATAACATACACATAACAGCTGCTGGAATCATACATCTGACAAAGATTCATTATACTGAAAATCTATATGAGAATGTCTCTCTGTCTTCCATCAGCTGAACAGGGCGGAGTTTCAGGATGTGGACGATGAGACCAGAGTGCAGTACGAGGGCTTCAGGCCGGGGATGTACGTCAGAATAGAAATCCCCTCCCTCCCCTGCGAGTTCGTCACCAACTTCGATCCCCATTATCCCATCATCCTCGGAGGCCTGGCTTCTGCGGAGGGCAATGTGGGATACCTGCAGGTACATTGGCTGTGATCTTCAGTAGATTTACTGTGGACCTCCTCTGAAGTAGTAGTGGTCATTCAAACATCACACGGAGACCAGGAAGGATGAATTAGATATATAAATGTTGCAACAAAAAGATCAGTTGCTGTTTAGAGCGGTGTTTCTCAAATTTTTTCATACCAAGGACAACTTAACCAATAAAAAAACACTCACGGACCACCTAACTCCACAAATATCCAAAAACACATGGTTTTTCTAGAACAGATTACAAATCGCCTGAAAATGGTACAAACAAGTGGCAACATGTGTGATGAAGGTGTTGCGCTGGGCTATATGAAACTTAAGCTCGCTCCTTTGCGGAAATATTCGCGCGAGAGTGCGGAAAACTTAAATTTATTTATTTATTTCAAATGTGAAATTTTACCAATATACTCACGGACCACTAGGAACCACACTTTGAGAAGCACTGCTCTAGAGTGAAGAGTGAGGCAATAAATGCAGAAAACACAATATTTGTATGAAAATCCTCTTTGATCTTTACGGCGAGGACCCTACAGTGAGAAATATAGAACATAAAAGGTATACAAGAAAACACCAATCACATTCTGTGCATGTTATAAACATGTATCTAAATATTTGTTTTTGTTTTTCTGTGTCAGATGCGTTTGAAGAAACACCGCTGGTATAACCGCATCCTGAAGACCAGAGACCCCCTCATCCTGTCTCTGGGCTGGAGGCGCTTCCAGACCATCCCCCTGTACCACATCGAGGACCACAACGGGCGCCACCGCCTGCTCAAATACACGCCGCAGCATATGCACTGTGGAGCCTCCATCTGGGGTGAGCCCACACTGGACTATAGGGAAGGATGTTTTTCATGGAACTAGAAAGAGTGTGTGTTGTAGCGTCTTTCTCTAAATGGCTGTGTGAACATGAACACAATAATCAGATTCAGGTTAAAATAAGACAACACTTTCATTGGCTGCATTCATAAATAAATAAATGTATATTTCTGGTTCCATGCTTTAGATAAAAGTGATATTGATAGCCTAAAACTATCATCTGTGATGTATTAATACTGGCCCTCTAAAGTCAGTGGAATAACTTCTTCTTGTTTATTGAGACTTTTACTCCCGAGCTTTTGACAAGAAGTGTTCTCTAGTTATGCCTGATATAATAATAATAATAATAATAATAATAATAATAATAATAATAATAATAATAATAATATGTCTCCCTCAGGTCCGGTCACACCGCAGGGAACAGGCTTCCTGGCTCTTCAGACAGTAGCAGGAATCAAAGTAAGTCACTCTCCTCTCCAGTGATCAGTGTGAAAGGTTGCTTCAGTTATCAGTAGTTTGTCGGAAAAAGCTTGGCTTTGTAATGATGCATTAAAAGCTGTGTGTAGTTTACTTATAGACTGCTGTTTTCCCCCTGCAGGCTAACTTCCGTATTGCAGCCACAGGAGTCGTCCTGGACCTGGATAAGTCTGTGACCGTAGTGAAGAAGCTCAAACTCATCGGTTACCCCTACAAGATCTTCAAGAATACCAGCTTCATCAAGGTAGAGAAACCTCTGATCATCTTCATCTCATTCAGGTCTACAGCTCTGAGGGGGACACTTAAACAGTTGGAATAAGATGTGAGAGATCAATAGTGGACATAACCCACATTATAGAGACATCTGAAGTATACTCGTTAAAAGGCTAGTCTTTAGCATAATCAATATCAGGGTTTATTCTGTTGTCTTCCAAAAGAAAACATGGTCCTTGGTTGAAGGAACTACATAAAAGACAGACATGTGACAATGAAAACATACTTGATAACTGAAACACATTGGCTAACTAAAGCCCTTTCAAATCTACCTTTTTTGGTCTGGATTTTTGGACTTTCCAGTTTTATTTTAACCAAAATTACATGAGTGATCATTGCAGAGTAAAAAGTAAACAGTTAAGGTGTCAGGTGGTAGTGAAGGTCTCAGTTTTCTTAAGACCAGAGTATAATCCATATTTCTGCCTGTATACTTTTAAGCGAGAAGGGAATAGAGCCTGTATAAAAAAACATAAATTGCAAGAACAGGGAGTACTTCTTTAGTGCAACATTGTAATGTGAAACCAAATCTAACAGGAATAAATATACTGCAACAAAAACACAAATCTAGGTCTGACAGTGTAAAAGGCCCCAAAATAACCAAACATATTTGTAGAAAGTCAGAGTTGATGCTAGTGTTTTCCTCAACGATGTGAAGAAGCAGTTGTTTAATATGTAAATACTTTTTATGTGCAGTGTTTTGATTGGACTCTGTGTTCACAGGGCATGTTCAACACAGTGCTGGAGGTAGCTAAATTTGAAGGCGCTTCTATACGAACAGTATCAGGGGTCAGAGGTCAGATCAAGAAGGCTCTGTCTACACCTGCTGGAGCTTACAGAGCCACGTTTGAGGACCGCCTGCTGATGAGTGGTGAGCTTCTGCTTCACCTGTGTTCTTATACTGCAGACTGTAACACTCACATACTTGTCATCTTCATAACAGTGTAGTGAAGTCAGCATCACAAGAGCTTGGGATTTTGAAATATTGCTCTGTAGCAAACACGTTCCACTACTTACATGTTTTTGTTCAGCAGGATAATCTCCATTTATTAACAACACTTTAATCATTGTTGAGGCGTAAATGTAATCGCCAGAAGTAAAAAGCTAACATTAGGCTTTAAAAAAACGGAATCACTGTGACATGACTTCACGCCACCTCCGCAAAGCTAAAGGCGGCTAATGCTCGGTGTGATGAAGTTTAGTCCAATTTGTTTTATTTTTTAGCAACCGTGGTTTTTATTACTCATAGAAGCTTTAGACTTTCACAAGACTGGTATTTATTGATGTTTTTTACATCGTATTACAAAACTTGAAAATCTCTTCAACTTGTGTTAATCACAGACCTTATATTAGACATCTAACCAAAAGCATGTTCAAAATGTAATCTAACAGTTCCCTTCCAGACAAAGAGCCGGAAGTACCTAATTTCCAGGTTTTAGGACTGATTCCTGCACCCCTCTATGGTTGTCTTTATTTCATGTCAGACAGAGTTGTGTTGGACTCTTTGGTCTTAATGCTGATGTGTTTTGTTGCAGACGTGGTGTTCCTGCGCTCCTGGTTCCCGGTGACTGTTCCTCAGCTTTACAACCCCGTCACCTCCCTGCTGCTGCCCGTCAGTCAGAAGGACGGCTGGGCGGGCATGAGGACGCTGGGCCAGCTCAAACATGACCTGGGCATCCGCAACAAACCCAACACAGACTCTCTGTACAAGGTAGGCCTGAACACCTGGCCCAATGAAAGAATGGAGATAAGGAGCAGTGCATTGCTCTAATGGCGGATTTCCACTGCAGAGCCTCGCACGGCTTAGTACGGTATAGTTAGGCCTTGGTAGGCCAGGCTCACTTTATGCTGCGTTTCCATTTTAGTAGCTGGGGCAGTAACTATAGTAACGCAGTGTAGGCGGACCCGTGACGTCATCTTCAATGCAAAACACAAAACCAACATCAGCCGTTAGCTGTTAGCCCTCAGAGCTCACAGCTCTTCATATCTGTTCAGAAACTAGACAAAAGTTAAACAAGTACAAACCACAGACTGTCTGTGTCATGGCGAATTCAGTCGCTGCTTTATTTATGTCTGTAGGCCGTTGTTGTGAGTGTGGACGGTCGGAGCTTATACAACGTTAGCTTAGCCGATCTCCATTAAGAAAACACGCATTTTAAAGGTGACATGTCATGCTTTTCCGGTTATTACCCGTCCCCTTGTGTGTTATGAAGGTTTTTCTGCATGTAAACGGTGTGCAGAGTCAAAACCCTTAAAGTACACCCTGTAGCGAGTAAAACTCTAACACAGAAAATACCTCCCCAAAACGCCTCGTTGGTGAAACGTCATCATCCATTTGATTCTTCCGGGTACGTGCTTACGAAAG